TCCCCGGGGGCCCCCGGGGATGGGGGGGGGGGGGGGGGGGGGCATTCACAGGAACGGGCAGAACAAGGCTGCCTTCAACAGCACCCCCCGCCATGAAAGATGTCACACGAGACAGCCCTGACCCCGCCCCCCGGCTCAGCCAGGGAGCGCGGGGGCGAGTAAGGGCAGGCCCTCACCTCTGATTTGAGCGAGGCCTCATCCTCCGAGTGGGACTCCTCGGCCACGGCCACCTCCACGGGCTTTTTGATCGCCTTGGCTTCGCTCTCCGGCTTCGCCTTCTCTGCTCTGGCGCCGGGCTTCTCCTTCGCCGGCTTCTTCTCCGCGTACGAGGGGGTCCGGTGGGAGTTGGCAGGGACGGTCTTGGCTCCTTTGGAGCTGTTCTTCTTCAGCTTTTTGGCACTGGGTTTTGGTGACTCCACTGTCAAGGGCCTCTTGGCCGAGGGCTTTCCCTCGGGCGGCGGGGGGCCGCCCTTGGGAGATGCATTCTCCAGCTTGTGCTCCTTCAGGGCTAGCTTGGGCTCCTTGAAAGCAGCCTTGGGGACCGGCTTCTCCTCCTTCGGCACTTTGTTCTCAGCGTGCTTCTTGGAGGGGTCCTTCGCAGGCTTGCCGGCTTCCCTTTCCAGGTCTCGAGAGGAGTTTTTGCTCTCGGAATCTTTCCTGGGCCTCTCCCGATGCTCTCGGGTGACTTTGTGGGGCTTGGAGACTTTGCTGCCATCTTTGTTCACCTCCTAAACGTCAGCAAAGAAGCCGCAAAAAACATCAAGGCCGCCAAGCCAGAGACTCTGTTTGGTCCAAGAGAAGGCTGAGCAACAGCTGGTCTCCAGAAAGACCAAGAAGTTGCTTACAAAACAGCACCAGTGTGGATGATCTAGACCTGACACAGCTAAAAACATCAAATGATTCCACTGGAAAAAGGAGCACACACCTTCAGCTGCCTCTTAAAGATGGCAGCTCTGCCTTTGCTTGAATACTTTGAATGAAAGAGATGCCATTTCCTCCTAAAGTAACTGTGTTGACCGACTCATGCTATTAAGAAATTCCTCACGCTTAGCTGAAATGCACTTCGTGCGGATTTCTGCCAACTACTTTGCCCTGCACTCTGGAGCAGCAGTAATAATGTTGGATCTGTTTTCTGCATTAGAGTCTTTTAATTACAAGAAGACAACCACTATAGTTCCCCTCAATTTTCTATTTCCCACAGTAAGCTATTTCCACCATTCCTCATTAAAACAGTTTTCTTGGTCTATGGGATACTGTGTTATTAACTACTAGCATACCACTATTAGTGAGAAGCTATTTTAAGAATCAACTGTCCCAAGATGGTTTTGCTGAATTTTAGGATTAAACTTTCTTTTCTGAAAATTATCATTTATACATATATGTGTTCTGTTAATATTTTAAAATATTTTTCTTTTCATCATTTTCATCACTACATTTAAAAGAGAAGAAAACAGTTGAAACAGTGGCAATTTTAGAGAAGGAGGAGGGTATTTTGGAAAGAACTTCAAAAATAAGAGGCATATGTGTGGGAAGGAAACCACAGCAAAGGCTAAAAGGGGTAGGACTCGAGGTGTGTTCACCCTTAGGAAAAGATTTCAGAGGTCAGGGCGAGAACACATTTTGGCAATCTTCAGCCAACTCAAAAGGCCAACAAAAGATTTAAAAACAAATAATGTAAGATTTATATCTAAAATCCAGAGGCTATCTCTGGGCTCCAGTGGGGGACAGAACAGCTTCCTTTGTCTTTGCCAAAATTCTGGAATATTTCTTTGAATAGCTATGACTGGAGGACAGAATACTGAGGGTGAGCGAAGTCCTCTTGACCCAAACACTTATGGAGAATCAATGCAATCATTTATGTGCACTCATACACGGAAACATACAATCATTTGCTTTAAAAGTTCTCTTTCAAGATAAGCTTACTGGGATTTAAAAAGAGGGCCAGGTAAAGGTATCTTGGCTTTTTCAGCTTTAATGGCCAAGATCTGTAGAGTCTATTTTTTTCCTTTGTATCCTTGCTACAAGCGCGGTTTAATCATCTACATGAAATGGAGTTCAAATGGTGGAATGGAGTATACTGGAGGACCCTCGAATGCCAAGCTCTGCAGGCTGCCTGGATGCACAATTCTATGACTTTTCTTTTAGGGTCCCCCTATATGGAACGAGAACTCCTAGGATTAAGTTTCTAGACATCATGATTTTTAAGTCAATTGAAAATCCACTCTCCCTTTCCAAAACTTTTCCAGAGTGACTCACCTTTGATCCATGAGATGGCTTGGACTTCTTTGGATCAGAGAAGGCAGAGAGGGGGATTGTAGGAAGCATCGGGTAGTCAGGACTTGGCCTAGACACAGTTTCTGCCCCTTCTGGCATTACCATCACCTGGGAAGAAACCAACTGATTATCAATGCTGGAAGCTCTAAGTCTGCTTCTTATAAGGCAAGACTCCGCAGTATGGCCGGGGAACCCTGGACAACGACTATCCGTCAACGTGGCCACCAGTGGGCTACTCTGGGGAGAATCAGATTTACTTTCTGTGCATTCTGGAGGAGTTTATGGTGTTCACTCTTAATCTGCTGCTCATCCATTTCAGAGTTCTATGAGTCTCAGTTCTAGTACTGTTATAAAGAGGAAAGGGAACTCCACACCTTTTCTAATGTTATTCTTAAACATACTGTAAATCTGAAAGAATCAATATAAAAGTAAAGAAACACTCATCACAATAGTGTTTTTTCATTAATTCCTGAGTACACTTTTTGACTTACTGGTTTACACACTGCTTCTTGATCACCAAGACTAACCCAGGACAGTGCATGTACTTTATGAAAAGTAAAATCAAACAGAGGTATCAAACACCACAGAAACAGCAATTACAAAACCACGAATCTACTTAGACTGTGTTACATTCAAAAGTTTAACAATTAAAATGTTCACGATTTCTTTAAGCTGTCTGGAGGAGCACCAGTTTAACCTGCTGTAGAAAAAAGACAGCGCTAGTGCCAAATGTATCTCCAGGGTCACGTGCCCACACAAAAGCCCCTCCTTTGAAGACAGAGAGCGATGGTAAATAGGAAAGAACCACAAAACAATCCTCTTTCTTCTAGTCTCTACAAAGACTGTTTGCACCTGTTAATTACTCACCCCTCCAGCTTTGAGGAGTTTGTGACGGAATTCCTTGGTAGGGTTATTAAAGGTGAGCTTCTCACATCGCAGATGATTAACTGGGGGGTTTCCTTCCAGGTTTAGAAAAAGGTCATAGGTAAAGCAAACTTTCTTCGGTTCCTCCTGAAATCAGAGGCAAAAATCTCAAGATGGGGTTTGCAATTACGATGTGAGTCCCTATTTTGGCATTTGACAGCAATCAGTCCCTGCCTTCATATTACTAAAATAGTAACATTAGAAGAATAGAGTGTAACAGAGAAATTCAGTCCAAACTCCAACCAGAAGCCACTCCACACAACCACATAGTTGGCAAATCCTTCTGTGAAGGTTGTCTGACAATCCAAGGGCTGCTGTTGAGGAGGCCTTGTAACGAATAAAGAGGCATCCACTTCAGATATATATTATATATACTAATAATAATATATAATAACATTACGTTCAGATATAAATGAAATCTCGGCCAGACCATGGCAAAAGTCATGTGTTGTCGTGCTCAGGCTGACTGGTATAAGAGCAGACATACGCGTACAAGAGCAGACCTGGGAACGACTTAGCTAGGCTGTCACCATGCCATGGGTGGTGGCAGAAATGCCCTTCAGAATGCCACAGGAGTTTCTCATTTAGTTTGCCAAATGCATTTTGGACATGAAGTTCTGGTTAAGGGTTCAACTCTCTTCCAAGACTTGGGAGGCATGATAATTAATTTGGGGTGAGAAAGAACAAACAATACTGTACGCTTCCAGAAATATCTGTTGGGAGTAGATCAGAATTGGAATGCCTAAAACTACAAGAAGCCTCATTACTGTCTTAGGAAAAGAGCAAGTTCTCTGTTCATCCAAATGAACAGAGACTCAGATTTGGAAGGGCCAAAACAGGAAGGTGAAGTTGTTCCAGGGGCTGGCCAGAACAAATCCTACCTTAAGGAAATGAAATGCAGGGAGAAAACAGAAGAAGCAGAGAATAAAATTATACCTTATTTTTGAAGTAGACCTCAATGGGCATAATGAAGCCAGCATAGCCAGACTCCTCCACTTTATAAGGGGGTTCTTTGCAAACTGGGGGAAAAAAATAACATTGGTAAACCTCCACAGCAGCATTTGTAAACCAGGCAAACAGAAAGGACAGAAATCAAAACTACGTGCCCAGAGAAGACACTCTCCTACCCATAATATGACCTACTTTGTCAGGATTAAAAGAAGGCCCTGTATCTGAAACCGCCAGAAGAATGCCTGTTATGATACTTTAAGCTCACACTCGACAGTGGTGACAACTGCATGGAGGGACAGCTTAGCTGATGCGCGCCTTCACAACAAAGGCATGGGAACATAAGCTGCACCCCACTGCTCCTACCACCCAAGCAGCTGAAGAGCAAACTCCTCACTCCAGGTACATTCCTTCCAGGATGTGGGGGCTACTAAACGTCAGTCCTGTGCAGGAATAGCTTACAGGTAGTCCTCAACCTACCACCATTCGTTCAGCGACTGTTTGAAGTTACAACAGCACTGAACTAACGGTGGTTATGACGAGTCCTTGGAATTCCGCCCATCCCAGCACCCCCACGGTCACACGATCGTGATCTGGGTGCTTAGCAACCAGTTCACACTTATGATCGGTTGCAGTGCCCCACGATCATGTGACCATCATTTGTAACCTACCCTGTGGCTTCCCTAGAAAGTCAGTGGGGAAGCCAGCAGGGAAGGTTGCAAATCACAGGGATAAGTTTCCCTCACCCACTCACCCTCCCACAGCCCCTCTGCGCTCACCACACCGGCCACTTGTGCACCCGTGTACCCTCCCTGACCCTCACCACACCTGTTGCACACCCCTCGCACCCTCCCCAACCAGCATCTCTCACGTACCCCCTCACACCCTCCCTGACCTGCACCGTCACACACACCCTCGCACCCCAATGCACCCTCCGACCCACCCTTCTTGCACACACCCCTGCACTCTCACACACCCTCCCGTGCAGCCCCGCACACCCGCTCCGTCTCCCCCACCCACCCAGCAGCAGCCACTTTCCTGCCTGCCAGCCTGGAACTTGCAACTTCCTGCTGGCTTCCTCACTGTCCTTGGTTGTGGGAAG